GCTAGAATAGCTCTCTCAAAACCAAAGCCCTTCAGCGGGGGGCACTCATACTTTTAGAAAGATGGACCGTTACCATCTATTCTTTCACAGGCCTTGGCTCAAAACAACCAGTATTTCCTTTTTTTATCTCAGGTGATTTATCAAAATATTTGCCCAACTAAGCAGCCCCCCCCCCTTTTTTTTGGTAGAGTGAGGGGGTTTTGCCAGGAGAGGGGCATATGTGGAGAGGGACATAGTAATTGGGCTGCAAAAAAATATGGTTTTCTCCATATTACACCTAATTTACAATATTAGGTGATTGAGTGTTCCAAAAAGAATAGTTATATTTCATTAAGTGCCTAACTAGCTCCTAAATGGCAATTAAAAATTTTTACAACAGTTTTATTGAACCATAATTCACATACCATAAAATTTGCTCTTTTGAAGTGTACAAGCCAATGAATTTTAGCATAGTCTCAATCATCACTATCTAATTCCACAAGATAAGGGTGAGCAAGGTTTACAGTTGTGAGTACACAAAACACAGTTTATTCTTGCATTATTATTAATTAATTATATTTATTATTATATATATTTATTATTATTAACCTACTTTTGCCCACCCCTGTGTTATTATCATCCCCAAAGAAACCCCTTACCCATTGGCAGTCATTTCCCATCCCCCGCTCCCTAGCCCTTAGTAACTACTAATCTACTCTTTATGGATTTTCCTATTTTGGACATTTTACATAAATGGAATCATACACTATTTGTTACTTTGCGACTGGTTTATTTCACTTAGCACATCATATTTTCAAGGTTCATCCATGTATCAGTACTTGTTATTTTTTATGGCCAAATAATATTCTCTTGTATGAATATACCATATTTTGTTTATTGGTTCATCAGTTGATAGACATTTGGTTTGTTTCCACTTTTTGGCTGCTATAAATGATGCTTGAATAAACATTCAGATGTAAGTTATTGTATGGACAAATGTTTTTTATTTCTCTTGGATATATACCTAGGAGTGGAATTGCTAGGCTATATGGTAACTCCGTGTTTAACTTTTGGGGAACTTTTAAACAGTTTTGCTGAGTCAGTGGCTGCATCATTTTACATTCCCACCAGCAAGTGGGAGTGATTCAATTTCACACCCTCACCAACACTTGTTATTATCTTTCTTTTTTATTATAGCCATCTTAGTAAATATGAAGTTTATACTTGCATTATTATTAATTAATTATATTTATTATTATTATATTTATTATTATATATATTTATTATTATTAACCTACTTTTGCCCACCCCTGTATTATTATCATCCCCAAAGAAGAGCATTTCCCTGATGGCTAATGGTGTTGAGAACCTTTTTATGATTATTCTCATTTGTATATCTTATTTGGAGAAATGTCTGCCCAAATTATTTAAAATTGGGTTATATGTCTTTTTATTGTTGAATTATAAGTGTTCTTTTAATATGTTGAATACAAGTCTCTTATCAAATATACAATCTCAAACATGTTCTCCCATTCTAGAGATTGTCCTAATAGGAATTTATGTTTAGGCAACACTTGGTTTATTCAGAGATTAAAGCTTAAGTATGGGTATTATCCAAACCCTTTGCTTCTCTCCTGGATTTATTCCAATTTGGAAAAAGCAGTGTTCACAATTCTCTAAAAAGAGTGCATAGTAGAGAGTATATGCTCAATTAACTTTGGCAAATAAACACATAAAATTGTTTTTTTTTTATTAATCCTCACCCAAGGATATTTTTCCATTGGTTTTTAGACAGAGTGGGAGTGAAGGAGGGAAAGAGAGAGAAACATCAATGTAAGAGAGACACATCAATTGGTTGCCTCCTGCATGACCCTGACCAGGGCAGGGTAGCAAAACTGTAACCCAGGTACATGCCCTTGATCAGGAATCAAACCTGTGACTCTTCAGTCCGTAGGTGGATGAATACAAACCAAACCTCTGAATACAAATCTAACCACTGAACCAAACTGGCCAGGGCTAAAATTGATATATTTATTCTTGGGTACTACCACTGCTCTGACTTGCTGAGTCCCTCTGCTGGACTTCCAGTGCAATGACATTCATTTCAGGAGCGGAAGGCCCCCAGGGGGAGCTAGTAAGCATTGGAAGGATGCACTTGTTTCCAGGTGTATGCGGTAAGCTGTCTACATAAATGCACTGAAGCGTAATGCTTCTTTGGGACAAAGCTTTCATGGTGAAAAAGCAGTTTCGTGTTCTCCTTTTGAAGTTTGAGACTCACTGACTTTAGAGAAAAAAGTGAATGTTTTTGTCAGTTCAGCATTGATGTAATGGTGTTTCTAATGGACCTGAGCATTTCTGTATCATTTATACTATGGATGCTTACTTGGAGGTTCACATAGGGATTTCATTTATTTAAATCCCTTGACTTAAAAGTAGTTCCCTCAGTGAGGTCACTGTCCCCTTCACCAAGCAAATAGCTGTGGGGAGATGGGTCTGATGCCAGGAGGGCAGAAGGCCACATCTGCATGCCTGTCAAATCATCTGAACCTACTCAGCACATGTTTGGGAGGAGAGATGGTTCCAGCCAGGCTGTCTGCATTTCCACATCATTTACTATGGCCTATCAAGGTTATCTTGCAGCTGACATTTTCCATAATCTCTTGTCAACATCTTGAGTGTTGATTTACAGAAAGAATCAGAATGATTCAACAATGGGAAGAATCAGAAGAATTCTAGTTGGGATGGCAGTTGAAACTAAGAAATCAAAGAAGGCATATGCATGAAGGAAACAAGCTGGGTAAGGAAAGAACCAAGGGAAGCAAGGCAGGTATTTGTAACTGGATATAAACAATGGTCTAACCTTGCACAGGCAGCGCTGCCTGCCTGCTAATGTTACTCAGCTCAGTTTCCCATTCAGGGCACTCACTCAGATGGTTGTGGGCATCATGTGTACGACACATATATGGATGTGGGTAGCTGCCAACTAGTGAAATGGGATATATACCTATGAGCATGCACAGTGGTCCCATCAGACAAGGGAAAAGAGAATTTAAAGAAATTAGTGCTCTTAGGGAGTTGATTTGAACAAGTTTGTCTCAGGCTAGGTTGAAAAAAATATTTTAACTCTAAACAGCCATCAATAATACCACTTTATAGTATTTATGCAATTTTTTTTCTTTCCCCATGAGTGCAAACACTTAAAAAATTTTTATTTTCTTTATTGATTTTAGAGAGAGAGGAAGGGAGAGGTAGAGAGAGATAAAAACATCAGTATGAAAACATCGATCAGTCGCCTCCTGCATGCCCCCACTGGGGATCAGGCCTGCAACTTGGTGCATGGGGTCAACGCTTAACCACTGAGCCACAGTGGCTAGGTGTGCAAACACTTTTAAGCTTGCCTATGGCTCATCATCACAACACTCTCCTGCTGAAAAAGGTAGTTTTACAATTGACCCAAGGCTCAGAGGTGAATTGACTATTCTGGGGGGTTGACTCCTGTTTGAAGCTAGGACTGAATTAGGCATTAAACATATGTAAATTCCTTTAATTCCTATAAAAACCCTTTGAGGTGGGTATTATTATTATTTGATAGAGTAAGGAAAATTGCCCATATCATTTGAGCAATAATGGTGGGACGAAACCGTATCTGTCATATTCTAGAGCCATACTCTTTCTGTTCCAGCATATTCTTATTTGCCAGTTCTAACCAATGAACGGAGGTTCCCCAGAGGGAGATGTGGGAGGTGTCTCAGCCTATGCCCAGTTATTCTGTCTGAGGCTGGTGGGGACGGGAGGAGTAGCATCTAATACAGAACCCAAAGTCACAGAATTAGTTGTTTAGGACAAATCTCATTCCTAAGGGACTAATGAAGACTTTCTGTTACACAAGCGTTTATATTTTGCAGGAGCTAAGGTAGGACTCCACCAAAGAGCAGCTCTTTACAACTGCATTTTGATAATACTTCTTTCCCTCCCTCCTGTTGCCAAGTATGACACCAGGGAAGGAAACCAAAATATGTCACCCCCAAATATGCCTCTTTGACATAAAAATTATTTTGGGCTGAAGACAGTGAAGCAGTAGCAAGTGCAAGGAAAGCTCTCGTTACCTTCTTCCCCTTTTCTCCCTAAAGACAGGGTATACATTCTTTTCTTGGGGACAGACTCTTATCAGCCCAGAGAGACCAGAGGATTGGGAAACAAACCGTACTGCATGAGTTTCCTCCCATGTATTCACCTTCCCACAGTCTGCTGCCCTTGGAAGCTTAAAACTGCTATTTCTCCTCAGATTTAGTGCTCTTTGTTGGAGACGCTCTACAAGCCAGAGTTCTAAGTTGGCACTTTTCATGAGGTTTCTCCCACGTGACATGTACTGTGCATGTTGATAAACTATCTTCCTCTTGTTAAACTGTCTTTTTGTTTAAGAGTCTCAGCTAAAATCTCAAGATGGGTCGAGGTCGTTTTGCCTCCTCTACACTAGTTATGGCTAATCTTTCTCCCTCTCTTCTTACCTACTTTTTTATTTTGCAAGTTTCCTTCCTTAAAATGACATCCTCTCCTACTTGAAAGATCCACCTCAATGAAACATGGAATGTAGCAGAAATATATTTGCTGTGCGTGTGGCCAATCAGTGCCTAACTGGCGGATTCTCCACAAGGGTCTGCCAGTTTAGTGTCAGGACGAAAACAGTTAACCAGATTTATACCGCAAACCATACTTCCTGTTTTAGTTTTTGAATTACAAAGACTGTATTACTCATTTTTCTGCTTTTACATCTGTGTTTAATTTTTCAGTTTTCAGGATTGGGTTGACAGATTTAAAACCCTGATGTTTACATATTTAAAAACCCTTTCGTTTTGTTTTGCAAATTATAGCTACAGTGTACATATTCATGTTTTTCTCTATTACGTTTTCACAAATAGAAGAACATCAGTCTTACATTGGTGTCCTAACAGGCTCTTCACTTCTGAGTGTAGAAGCTGTGGAAACCTGTGGATCTGAATCTAAATTAGTCCCCAACTTACTGCACCATTTCACTTTCCAGTTCCGATTGGCATCAACGCCACGGCAGCGAAACCCTGAGTTCCTTGACCTTGTTTTTCTCCAAAATCGATCCTAGAATGTAATTAAGAACATAGTTGCAGGAAAAAAAATGCTTACAAGGTTATTCACAAACATTTTAGTAGCACAATCAGTGAATGAATCACATCATTGAGGGGAGAGTCCCCCTGGAACGGACGAAGTCAGGGAGTGGAAAGGGAACTGGACACCCAAGTTCATACTCCAATATCTGCCATAAACTTGCTGTTTCTTACCTTAGCTTGACCTCATTTCTTTACAGGAAAATTTAATAAGCTGGACTAAACTAGTGATTTTTCACAATATAAAAAAGGAGACATCTTTATTTGCATGAAATCTGATGCAAAGCTAAACATATAAACACAATCAAAATGTTGCTGCAATGATGGGGAGGAAGTAGAGGTCTCTTTTATAGCTCTGGATCACTAGGTTGGCTGCCCACGAGCTTCCTTCCTGTTCAGTAACAGTTTTCTCTGATTTATTCCGTCTCTCTTTGATTGGATAAGCAAAGTGACTTACATTGGTCCAGCTGAAATGGTATCCATCGACGTTAAACACAGGCATGATATAGAAATACAGATGATTCATCATTTTCCTCATGGTTGGGTCACTCCTATATGTTAGAAGAGCCTAAAGATAAAGGTGATAGTTTTCTTATAAATTGATTCCAAATACAGATTTAGAAAGAAAAGAAAATCCTTTCTCTCCATGAGAAATGCCAAATACATTGGTTTAAAAAGTAACAAGATAACAAGACCTATACTCTTTGACATTATATATTCTTTATTGAGAATTTTGTCTCAAACTCTATATTACTAATAACATTTTAGCAGAGGTGGCAACCTCTTGCAATATTTCAGATCTGGCTAAATTTTAGGTTGATGAAGAAAGCAACAATTTTGTATAATCAGTTCTTTTTAAGATTCCATTCTATTGTGGACAAAATAATTACCTAAATATATTTTGATATCTTTACATGATACATCATAACACAAGCTAGTTATATATGACACTTAATTGTCTATCTCTAACTGGTACCAGATTCAGGTCTTAGAACTTGAATGGACATTCGGTTCTCTCCTGACTTTCCTATAAAAAGTTTAATGAACAATATACCATCTTTGTCACATTGTTGCTGTGATTGGGTTGTATTTATATTGCGTCTGACCCCAAGTCTGAGGGTTCTGTGCTGTAGATTTGGCCTTAAGTAGAAAAGCACTGAACGTGCTAAGTCAGGTGAAGACAGTTTGAAATACTATTCCTTTTTAAAAAGTTCTCTCTGATGCATGTTTTTCTATGTGTAAAGTATCTTATGGAAACACTGGAAATTTGTAACAATGGCTGCCTGTGGGGAGCAGGACTGGGGGACAATGTACAGGAAGGAGAAATACTTTTCATTTTATCCCCATTTGGATTGCAATTCAAAATAAAATAATTCTCAAATTATGTATATACTTTCTTGGAAAATCTAATACTTAAAATTTCAATCTTCTTTTATAATTAATTAGGAGTTCTGAATCCATCATAAGCAGCATTCTCTCTTTACATGGTGAGAATTCTGTTCATAGAGAGCAATCCAATAATTAATATACTATTAGAAACTATCACTATATTAGAAATAATGATAAAAATATAGGACTATATTCAAGAACACAAGAAAGTTATTAAATACAATTTCATTAAATATAATTTAATCTAAGGGATCAACACAAGTTGATAAAAGTTAATATAATTTTCTCCTGTTCTCCTTTATTTAAGGCTCAATAATAATTTGTTGGCCAAATAGCTTTATATTTTTTCTTTTTTTTATTAATTAATTTATTTATTTTTGTTACAGATGTTTCTCCTTTTCCCCCCACTGATTCCTCCCTCCTCTTCCCTCCCCGCCCTGTCTCCAGCTTTGTTGTCCATGTCCATTGTTCAGCATACATGCATATAAGTTCTGTGGTTTATCTCTCCCCCACCACCCCCTCTTCTGGGGATTGTCAGTCTGTACCCCACTTCCATGTCTCTGGGACTGCCCCATTCCTCAAACTGTTATGTTCATTATATTCCACAGATAAGTGAGATCATATGATACTTGTCTTACTCTGTTTGGCCTGTTTTGCTTAGGATGATACTTTCCAGGTCCCTCCATGTCATCTCAAAGGATAAGAAATCTTTCTTTCTTACAGCTGCATAGTACGCCATTATGTATATGTACCACTGCTTTTTTATCCATTTGTCTACTGATGGACATTTGGGTTGTTTCCAGATCTTAGCTATTGTAAATAGTACTGCTACAAACATGGGGGTACATATATTCTTTCTGATTGGTGTTTCAGGCTTCTTAGGGTATATTCCTAGAAGTGGGATCACAGGGTCAAATGGAAGTTCAATTTTTAATTTTTTGAGGAAACACCATATTGTTTTCCATAGTGGCTGCACCAGTCTGCATTCCCACCAGCAGTGTATTAGAGTCCCCTTTTCTCCACACCCTCTCCAACACTTGTTGTTTGATGATTTGTTGATGGTGGCCATTCTGACAGGTGTGAGGTGATACCTCATTGTTGTTTTAATTTGCATCTCTCTGATGATTAGTGATGTTGAGCATTTCTTCGTATGTCTCTTGGCCATTAGTATGTCCTGTTTGGAGAGGTGTCTGTTTAGTTCCTCTACCCATTTTTTAATTGGGTTCTTTGTCTTCCTTTTGTTGAGTTGTATGAGCACTCTATATATTGGAAGTTAACCCCTTATCTGATATATCATTGGCAATGATGCTCTCCCATACAGTGGGTTGCCTTTCCATTTTGATTATTGTATCTTTTGCTGTGTAGAAGCTTTTGAGTTTGATGTAGTCCCATGTGTTCATTTTCTCCTTTGTTTCTGTTGTCTTAGGTGATGTATCAGTGAAAATTCTGCGTATGATGTCTAAAATTTTGTTGCCTACAGTTTCTTCTAGGATTTTTATAGATTCATGTGTCATATTTAAGTCTTTTATCCATTTTGAATTTATTCTTGTGTATGGTGTAAGTTGATGGTCATTTCATTTTTTTTGCATGTAGCTGTCCAATTAAAAGCATTTCCCTTAAGAACAGCAACAAGACAAGGATGCCCACTTTTGCCACTCTTATTTAACATAGTACTGGAAGTCTTAGCCACAGCAATCAGACAGGAAGAAAAAATAAAAGGGATCCAGATTAGAAAGGAGGAAGTAAAACTATCATTATTCGCAGATGACATAATACTATATGTAGAAAACCCCAAAGACTCCATCAAAAATGTACTAGACTTAATAAATGAATTTGGCAAAGTAACAGGATACAAAATTAATGTCAAGAAATCAATGGTATTCTTGTACACCAATGATGAACTCACAGAAAGAGAAACTAAAAAAACAATCCCATTTACCATCACAGCAAGAAAATTAAGATACCTAGGAATAAACTTAACCAAAGAAATAGAGGACCTATTCGCAGAAAACTACAGGTCATTGATAAAGAAAATAGAGAAAGATATAAAAAAGTGGAAGCACATACCTTGTTCATGGATTGGAAGATTAACATCATTAAAATGTCCATATTACCCAATGCAATCTATAGATTCAATCTATAGATTCAATGTCATCAAAATACCAATGACATACTTCACAAAACTAGAACAAATAGTTCAAAAGTTCATGTGGAACCAAAAAAGACCTCGAATAGCCACAACAATCTTGAAAAAGAAGGACAAAGTTGGAGCGATCACATTACCAGATTTCAGGTTATACTACAAAGCTACTGTAAATCATAACAGCCTGGTACGGACACAAGAACAGGCATTTAGACAGTGGAACAGAACAGAGAACCCAGAAATGGACCCAAGGCAATATGCTCAATTAATATTTGACAAAGGTGGCAAGAGCACACAGTGGAATAAATGGTGTTGGTAAAATTGGACAGCTATATGCAAATAGCTTTAGTAGAACTTTCATATATGCTTGAATTTCCATTAACTGTATCATTTCAAACTAGAGGAGTATCTCGGGTATATGATCAATTGTACATGCCCTGGAATTTTGTTTTTGTCTGATAAATGGAGATTCCCCAGTGCTTGGAGGAAGTCTCCTGTTGGGGATGGCAGTGACAGAGCTATATGCAGCTACATTCCTCCATTAAAGGGGCTTTCCATACTCCTCTAGCTAGAGGAAGACAGGAGAGATGGAAGGAAAAGGAGCTGGGACAGCAAGGCTGGAAAGAAGTGGGTAGGAACAATTGTGGTAATTTATCCTCCTAGAACTGGGAACCTTTGCTCATTTGTCCCAGTCCAAATTGGTAAAGTCTTACCTTTTCCCAGCGTGGATTATGAGTCATGTTAGCACCTAAACCACAAGACTATACTACAGACTGTCGTGACCGTGTTCTCTTCTCCTTCAATGCAAGTGACTGCCATACTTTTGTATTTAACAGAATATTGTGAACTTTCTTTTTAAAAATTACAATATATTTTAAGTAAATAGAAAAAGTACAGAGAGGAACATAATAACTGTGTGCCCACGAACCACATCAAATTTATCAAATATTTTGAGACATTATAGATAAAACTAAAGCTTCCTTTTTGTCACTCCCTGATTCCATTTTCCTCTTCTCCACCAAGGTATTACCTGTCCTAAATGTGACATTATCATTTCCAGGCATGATTTTGATAGCTATGTATATATAGATTCATGAACACTATATATGTGTATGCTTTGAAATTTCATGTCTCAAGCTGTTTCAGTCTTCAGTCTGCTGTTCTTGCCAGTATTATATTTTTACACCTACTAAGTTGATGATTTATTCATTTTAACTATGTGGTTAAGGTAAACACAATATATTGATCTCTTAATTTGTTGATGAACAGTTAGGTTGCTTCTGATATTTCACCATTACAGTATTGTCATGAACATTTTTACACATTTCTACTAGACATGTGAGAGTTAAATTTTTTTTTAAAATTTATTTACTGATTTGAGAGAGAGAGAGAAGAGTTGATTTGTTTGTTCCACTTTCTTATGCATTCTTTGGTTGATTTTTGTATGTGCTGTGACAGAAGATTCAATCCGAAACCTTGGCATATCTGGATGATGCTCTAACTGAGCTAACCAGGGCTTGATGCTATATATGTAGGAATGGATTTGATGAATCATGGATTTACATGCCTTCCACTTATTAAATGTTACCATTTTCTCTCTAAATCAGTAAAAACTCTCATCTGTGAGTTATAAATATATTATATTCTAATAATATATTATATTATTGGATTGCTCTCTATGAACAGAATTCTCACCATGTAAAGAGAGAATGCTGCTTATGATGGATTCAGAACTCCTACTTAATTAAGTGTAAAAGAAGATTGAAATTTTAAGTATTAGATTTTCCAAGAAAATGTAATCTGTGAATGAGAGTTTCCATTGCTCTACAACCTCAGCGATCCTTGGTATTGTTAAACTGTTAATTTTAAAAAAAAATTAAGGGTATAAAATTGTTTTGTTGTTTTACTTAATACTTCCTTGATTACAAATTATATTGAATAGTTCTTATATAATAAATTGCTCACTCATATTTTTACCCATTTTTTTTTTTTTAGTAAACTCTTCATTCTTCTTATATTCTGCTATTAATACTTTT